TGACAGTTAATAGACTTTAGTTTGATGATACTGCTAGGGTACCTGATATGGATCGATGGCTACTGAAGTTGAATTTTTTTCAAACGCATGTAAGAGATGTATGTACAATTCAAAGCAATGTCACTTAAGGAAAAGCAACAAAGAAAATGTATATAAAACATTGTTGTTGTGACCTTTCGATACATGTCGTGAGACGTAAAATGCTTTTTATAGACTGCAATTCATCGTCATAACCCGTTTGATATATTGCCGTATTGCGTCCAATGAATACATGAATATGTTTGTAGGCATTTCATATTTATAACATTCAACGTGTAAAATCTAAATATAATGACTTAGATCGTGGTTGTGTTAAGTTGTTTATAGAAGTGCTTTTATGTTTTATAGCGACTTGCGTACCATTGCGTACAATTTTGTCATGACAATGCGGGCATGGGCCAACAGTTATTTTACTTCATATCTTTCTAGTTAAGAGTGGAGAAAGTCACACTAATCGGTGACTTTTTTTTTCATGGGCGTAGCCTGAAAGACTTTCTCTAGGTAACCTAATTTTCTCTAGGTCCTTAGGGCCACGAAGAAGAAAAACTTGTAATGAAAATAATATTCCATTAATTTATTTTCTCCCAAGAAAAGTGGGGCTGACCTGCTACTCTGCTTTCTACTTTGTACTTGAGATAGTCAACACAAGGTAGGACATCGTAACTAATATACCCCTCCTTCCTTTAAAGTAATTTTAAGTTCAATTCAAAACAAACAACAAACAAACAAGTTTATTGAACCATTAAAGTTACATTTTGATAGGTGCTCTGTCTCCTAAACTAGGTTGATTAACCTGTATCATAGGAGTCAGTGCTGTGCAGTTCAATGTTTTTGTTAGTAAGTGCTGTAAGTGCTCAGAGAGCATGTTAAGGTCCTGGTTACCATATGAACATCTGTGTGCAATAGTTACGGGTACTTGGAGCCCTAACATAAGTCTAAGTCCGACATAAGTCTTTCTACAGAATTTGGATAGCGTCTAGTACTTGGATTGTGGAAGTCTGATGCCAGTCGCTCTGTGTATAAAATTGAACTTCAGCCGTATCGTAGAAGACTTAAAGCTGACCCCAATGTAGTGTGGGAAAAAGGCTCTGAGGAAGGAAGAAATGTAGTGTTTAGAGATTTCTGTATTGTGTATTTTTCAATATGACATTAGGTACCGTAAGATACATAAACCTTTACTTATTTGTCTTGCCAACATCGATGTTTGTATTTGCATCTTAAACATAAAATAAAGGTAATAAATTGATGATGAAGAATAAAAATGTAACCGAAGCCAGTTATTGGGTTTATTTTTGGCGAAATTCTCGATACCCGAATAGAGTCTAGAATAGGGTTTACTTTTCAGTTAAGATAAAGTTGCTCGATTGTCATTCGATGATAAATGTTTCGATTACAATCCCCTGGCACAATTTTATCTCTATTGGGTACGGGAAAGCCAAATGTTTTTGGTTAGTTTATGCCCTCCAAATGCCATAAATTCAATGGAAGCTGCATGATTCACGAAATAATATGGATGTTTCTGAGTAAGCTTTAATTAGCTGCAAGCGCGCCAACCGCGCAGTGCATTTCCGTCAATTAAACTTTTTGTTGTTTACTGTAGAATAACCTCCATTGACGGTAAAGGACTGATTAATGAATTTTGATAACGTAAACATTGTTTCTATGAATTTTCATGTTTGTGTTGTTCGTATGGTGAGTCTCTGTACCATTGTTTAAACAACATTGGAAACTCGAATGAGTTTATGTGGTATCATAAAGCTTGCGTACCGATTTTGTTACTAATATTACAATAAATAAATAAAAAATGATAATCAAGCTACAGAATAGTCACTATGTCGCGGGGAAATTTACAAAGATAATACTAACAGACGCATTAAACACACATAGACAGAATATGAGAGAAACAGATTTACTATGATAGGTGAATACTTTTATACCATTGATTATACCGCTTTTTTTTAAATAATTGAAACATTCTACATAAAAAAGGATAAACCTACAATTTCGCAACATCTTCAATTAAATATTTCAAATAAAAAGAGAACGAAGAGGAGCGATTTCAAAAGAATCCCTTTTTTTTCATTTTCCAAGATGTTACTTTGTTACTTGCTCCTACATTCTTTCAAACAACTATCCTTCACTACCAGAATATTAGATGATTATGGTGGCTGCTAGCTGATGCAGCAGCAGGAGCACCTGAGGATCGTAGCGCGATGTACCTAACTTTTCTTAGAAAAATAGGATACTTTACAAAATGACATGCAATCGGATTGAATCCGGTGCTAGGTTTATTATAGTTCATCATCGTCATCAACAGCCTTTAACAGTCCACTGCTGGACATAGGCCTCTCCTTAGACAGGAGGTTTTGGCCTACTATACCACGCTAGCCAGACGGGTTAGTATAGGGTTTGTGTCAAGTTTTCCTTCTCTCTGCAGTGCTGTAGTCTTGCCTACTCTTATCATAGTTACTGATCGATAAATATCTAATAAACTAGCTTGTGTATATACAAATGTATTTATAAAATAGAAGATGGTTATTTAATAGATTACCATACCAAAATCATTTTAACAGTAATTTGTTAGATGTCAAGATATTATTGATGTTCATTTCAATCATTCTTAAGCTGATGGTATTTGTATATTTGCTTCACGATTTAATTACCTAACTGTAAAACCCCAACGATTAGTTTTCGATGATTGGAAGTGTGATACAATAATTTATTGGCTTAAATTAATGAAGATAGTTACAAGGTTAGACTATATTAAATAACTAATTAAATATGATATCGCTGTTCATAAAGAACAGATGCCAATAATAAAAAAGAATGTATGCTTGAAATTACTGCAAGTAATTTCTTGTCAGTGTATAGTTAAAACACTTTGGAAAGACCTCCAAGAATTAGATTTTAAAAAAAGGCTACATGATTAAAATCAAACTACAGCGTCGACTATGTTGTATGTATGCTATAGTTACCGGCACGAATCTTGAGCGCTCTTGGATTAAATTATAAAAAAAAGACCCTATTAATTTGCTCGGAAGTATACTAGTCGAACTTAAGTACGAGAAAACGAATCAGGAGCAGCGACAATATCGTTGAGCCAATCACTGGCTGACGTTATGATTTAATTGCCCAACAAAGATCGGTGCCGGTACCTATAACCTTAAACTCTTTCCACTAGTAGGGTTCATCATAATACTACCCGATTTTTACCACTTCTCAGTTACTACCTATATCTATACAAGAATAGGTTTAACCTAAAATAGTAATAATGTTATTTAGTCTAAAAGTTACACTTTATAAACAGAATATGACTGGTAAGTGATTTTATAGAGCTTTTAACGTCTCTTTATACTCATAAAACTAACGAAAATATAAAGTTTTTACTCTTATCTAAGTGACAAGTTTAGATACTATCGTCCAAATGTAGACCCTCGCGTTCGCGGCACTCATTTAATCGAACAGTAAATAACTTATGACGGCTCTGCAGGTGGACTCAGTGAGGGCTGCCATTTCGTGACGGATATTTTCTTTCAAATGCGCCAGGGAAGTCGGTTTATTCGCGTAACCTTTAGATTTAAGATAACCCCATAGGAAAAAGTCCATAGGGGTTAAATTAGGACTGCGTGGAGGCCAATTTATGTCACCTCTCCTGGAGATCAATTTTCCTGAGAAAATTTCACGAACTCGTGGCAGAGACGTATTGAACGTGTGTGACGTTCCGAACCATGTTCTTTAGTTATGGCCAGGCAAGTTTTACAGTTCAGGCGCCAAGAAGTCGTTTAACATCTCCACATAACGCTCTGAATTCACTGTAACTGCACGCTCCCTTTCGTCTTCAAAAAAGTAAGGGCCGATAATTACTCGCGCCGACATCGCAGCCCATACTTTCACTTTAGGCAATTCTGCTTATTTACGTGTCCATTAACATGAAAATGAGCTTCATCCGAAAACAAGATGTTGGTAAACGTTGAAAAGCGCTTAATCGCCTGATTTACGAAGTCAAGCCTCTGACTGGCATCTTGGGGCTTTAATTCTTGCACCAATTCTTGTTGCCTCATTTGAAAATAACATAAACATATTACATTCGAACATACGGAGCGTAAACAAAAATCTTGACAATTTACTGACAACTATGACAATAACAAAAATTAATTTTGATATAATTGTTTTAACCGAGTGCTGGCAGAGTAAAGTTACTAACATGCCAGTTTTGGACGGATACCGATCCTTTCACACCAATAATTTCTCAAATCAAAACGAAGGTGTTATTATCTTTGTAAAGACGGGTCTACAGTGCTCCATTCGTGAACCAGATTTAAAAAACGCGAACTGTCTAGTATGCGAAATTGATCACAAATTTCGCAATTGTAGCAGTCTATAGACCTCCATCATACAATACAAAAGACCATCATAATGCTTTTTTTACCAGTCTAAATCACGTATATCACCAACTAAGTTCTTATTCAAATATTGTTCTCATAGGAGACATAAACATTGATATAAAGCACGGAAATAAAAGTGATTACAGTCTCGAATATCTAATTCTAAACGCAACCCATAAATTATTCCCAACCCATCTAATACCCACACGAAAGGAGAATTGCCTAGATCATATATTTCTAAAATCTAATTTTCCTTCCACCACCGTAATTTTAGAGTCTGCCATAACCGACCATAAGCCGTTAATTTTAAGCATCAAGAGTAGTGACACATCTCGGAAACCCTTGCATTACATATCCAGATTAAATCATCAGGGTGCTCAGAAAGAAATAGAAGAAACTGATTTCAGTCAAGTGTATACCATTGTAGATGCCAACGAGGCCATCAATAAAATAATAACAACCATTTCATCCATCATATCAAAACACACAACCTTAGTAAATATCCCAAAAAAACAACGCACTATAAAACCCTGGATTACTCCTGGACTATTGAAATGCATTAAAAATCGAGACAGGATGCACGCCAAAACTAAAAAGACCCCTGAAAATCTCGTTCTTAAAACTACGTACATTAGATATCGCAACTATTGTAATACTCTCCTAAGAAAATTAAAAATAGCCTATGAAACCAATGAGTTACTTAAAGCAAAAAAGAATCCGAAAGAACTATGGAAAGTTATTAAGGACATTACTCATACGCGAAAAACCCGTGATAACCCCAGTGAGCTACTAAATTTGTGCGAAAATCCTCAATCCTCGGTAAATAAAATTTCTAGTTACTTCTCACACATAGGTGAAACCTTAGCTTCTAAAATCACAGCCACAAACCACTCTAACCAATCCTTGACTTCAAGAAGTACCAATTCTCCTCCTGCAAACTCAATGGGCTTTCTCCCCATTGATGAGTCTGAGGTAGAATCTCAAATTCTACAGCTACGTAGCAATTGTGCCATTGGGTGGGATGGGATACCATCCACTATTCTAAAAAAATGTCGGGAAACTTTAGTACCTCCAATCACGTATGCTTTTAACCTTTGTCTTCAAAGAGGAGTATTCCCAAATGCCCTAAAAAAAGCGATTGTCTACCCAATCTTTAAGAAGGGGGACAGGAACTGTATCAGTAACTACAGACCCATATCTGTCCTCTCTGCAATTTCTAAAATACTGGAAAAAATCCTGAATAAGCAGTTGAGATGTTTTCTCGACAAAAATCGCGTTATAGCGGATAATCAGTACGGATTTCGGTCTGGAGTCTCAACTGAGGACGCAGTTCTCGATTTAACGGAATTTGTTGCAAGAAGTTTGGACAGACAGACAAAATGTCTAGGAATATTTCTAGATTTAACAAAAGCTTTTGATACGGTTTCTGTTCCCAAGCTAATTAACAAGCTGGAGCGTGTTGGAGTGCGGGGTGTCACACTGGATCTATTCAGGGACTATCTCACGCACCGAACTCAGTGTGTTAAGCTAGAGAAATATCTCAGCGAAGAGCAATATACGCTATACGGTGTTCCACAGGGCAGCGTGCTAGGACCAACCCTTTTCCAGATTTACATAAACGACCTTTGCAAGCTGACTCTTAAGAGATGCAAAATTTACGCTTATGCCGACGACACTGCAATCATCGTTTATGGTTCTAACTGGAGGGACATTAAAATCAACGCGGAGTCAGCCCTTAATCATGTGATGTCATGGTTAAATCACAATCTATTGACTCTAAATTTAACAAAAACTGTCTACATACCTTTCGCACTACGACATACTACAAAGCCACCTGACACATTTACCTTAACAGCACACTCATGTGCAGATACAATAGGCCCATGCTCTTGCACACCGCTAACGAAAACCGACACTGTGAGGTACCTGGGGGTTCTAATAGATGATTCCCTAAAATGGGACAAACAAATCAACGCACTCATAAACAGAACCTTGCGTCTTATTGGAACTCTCAGGTCCCTTCGAGACTCGGCTAACTGGGAAACCCTGAAAATGGTATATCTTGCGTTATGTCAATCCGTCACAGGATATTGCATTACGGTTTGGGGTGGCACCCATAAGACACTACTCCTTGGTTTGGAGAGAGCACAAAGAGCTATTCTAAAGGTAATGTCAAAAAAGCCGTTGAGATATCCTACATCTCAATTGTACACCGATTGCAAAGTGCTAAGTGTTCGCCAGCTGTTTGTGCTCCAATCAATTTTAAGGCAACATAGTGGTCTCCCCCACCCTAATCCTGAGAAGCGTAGGAACGTACCACTAAGTGTCCGACACAGAACCGCTTTCGCAAAACACCACTTTTATGTACTGGGCGCCCATATATACAAAAAAAACACACAAAGAATTAAAAATACTAGGTTCAAATAGGTATACAGTTAAGCAAAAAGTTACAGAATGGCTCCTGAAACAAGACTATTCCCGCACGGAGTCGTTACTAATGTACCTCAAATAGGAAATAGCCTCACATTAAATTATATTATGTACTCTAGCACATGTAGGATCTTCTGCGCCTACACACACGCGCACGCATACATACACACATGCACACGCACGCCCACACACGCCCACACACACACACGCACGCCCACACACACACACACACACACACACACACACACACACACACACACACACACACACACACACACGAACATACACACATAAACATCCAACCGCATATTATCTATCGAAAGACACAACTCTAACAGAACTAATATAAGATGAATCTGTAAGGCTGAACACTGTCTCTTAAGATACAGGTAACTCACCTAGTTTAAGGGACAGAGTTTCACATCTTAAAGACAAAATTGTAAATTCCTATCAACTGTGTATTCGAATATGTATATTTTTGCGTAAATAAAGTATTATTATTATTATTATTATTATTATTAATTGAATTTTGTAGGGGTGCAGCTTTAGGTCTTTGTGCAAAATGCGGTGTAATGATGGTCTATGCACATTTAAAGATATAGTTACGTACAAACGTCATTAGTTACGACACAGATTACTACTTACTAATTGCTCGCCATATCGCGTGAAATATACACCAATAATCTCATGAGATCTTAGGACATCGCCCTTGTAGATGATGACATTTGTAACGAGATATAGAGTAAAGTTATTGAATTTCTTGTATCTGTTTCTGAGTACTTAGTTTTGTTTGAGGTTCTGTGTGATCGATTTAATACTGGTAATGTTCGGACTTAGTTCATCATCGTTTTCATCGTTATACTTTTTTTTTTATTTTGACTGACTTTTAGTCGGCGGTTAGCGCCCATAATATCTGAGGGCGCCAGAGGCGTGCCCTATTCTGGGCGGTCAGAGCCGCCGCCCACACTGGTGCACCGTACAGTGCCATTGACTGGACAACCCCCGTGTACAGCCGTCTTGTCACGACGCTGGCTCTACCCAAATTGGGCAAAAGTCGCTCTAGGGCAGAAGTAGCGCCGACAAGCTTTGGAGCAATCTGTACGAAGTGCTCGTCGAAGAGCCACTTCCCGTCAAGAATGTGTCAACGCCGCGCTGTACGCTCTGTTTCCTTGGAGAATAGCACTGTTGCTCTCCAAGGAAACGTATATACGAAAAACGAGTAAAACCGTATACCTAGATAGGTAGTTTATAATTTAGCACACATTTTAAGGAGTAAAATCAGTCTGTATTGCTTTATAGCATTAATGGCAAATACTATTTGAATAAAAACTATTTGCCATTTACAGTTATCTTATTATTACATGATAAGGAATGTGGTTATTTCTTAACACTTGCACTTATCAAAGTGCCAACATGTTGTTATGATTTTTTTATCTAAAAATATAAGTTATGTGGGAATTCAACTTACGTCGTGTAAGTTCCGTGCTTGAAATCGTTTGTTTTTTCTTTGATCCATTTATCCAAGTAGTAATATATACTTAGACTTATTTACTTCTTACATTCGCTTAGTTTACTTTGTTAATATTATCTAAAGTTTCAGTTTACTCTAAGTTTTGGAATATATAGAAAAACAAAACAAATTGGCTGCCCACACAAGTGCAATCCGTTCGGTATTTGCAAAACAATTTTCACTCTTCTCTTGTTTGTGTATTTCTTTTTTATTTAAGACATAATAAACTACGTTTTGTTTAAAATAAAAATAAACGGCACGGGGGGTCTACGGACCCCGGTGGGAACGAAGTTCCTTTCGCATTTTGGTAGTCGTTTGCTATATAGTTATTATAATTGATATTATAAAGTATCGAGTAATTGAGTTAAATTGAAAATGTATGATAAAATATCTTTATTATGTATGAAATAAATAATGCTAAATTAAAGACTGATTGATCTGGGATAATTAAGGTTATAACAAATGAATAAAAAACGGCGTCAGGGGTCTATGGAACCCCGGTCGGAACAAAGTTCTTCAAGAAGTGACGGAAAAAGTCTTGTTAAGTACATATTTTTCGGTCTCGCTCTCATTCGCTCAGAGCGTGCAACGCGCGATATGGAACTGCGTTCCAAAAATAATTACACACATCTAACAAAAATGAGTAGAGAAAGTGTAAAAGTCAGAGCTTTTTCGCTACTGTTTTCTAGAATTTGGAGGGAAAAAGAAATTATTTTCATATTAACCAGTTTCAACTATATGATAGTGCATGCCCCAAGAAAAAACAAATAAATTATAAAAATGTAGTAACAGCAAAGCAATGGCTTCCCTTGACACTAATGTAATTAAAAAACTATTTATTAAACATTCCACGATTCCGCACGAAGCCGTCATTCGCAGAAATGTACGCACCGCAAACTTCTAAATATGTTTACAAGTTCCTTTCTGATGTAATTACTCATACAAATACGTGTTATAACTTAACATAACATGATGAACCGATCAGCGTGCGACTTGAACATGGCCGTTTGCCGCCCGCTGTGCTTTGAAAGGCGTAAAGTGCAATCTCGTGAGATCTGGCTTTTCCACATATGATGACCTGTCCACAGCTTTACTAGTATTCTATTGTCATTGTAACATTATTCAAAAATTAAAATATTATAGGCGCTATTACAGAATAGAGCGTGCTAAAGTACTTTAAAATTTTATAAAACTAAGTACTTTAGAGTATGACTGCACGGATGGCGTAGTGGTTTAAGCGGTCGCCTCACCGCTTCCTAATACGCCGAGTGTTGTGGGTTCAAACACCACATGGGACGACACTTTGTGTGATTCATAAATTGTTGTTCTGAGTCTGTGTGTTCGTTGTGTCCGTTTCATGTATGTTTGTAAAGTCCCCGCAACACCGAAATATATTCCTAATGCCAGTAGGCTTTAAAAAGAAAAAAATGTCATATCTGGGGTCATTTATTTGCGCGATTTTGCTAAGTGGAATTTTATAGTTGTTTTAAAAATAAACTTGGACAAAAAGGTTTTTGATGTGAAATTTCTTTCCTCTCGCTTTCTTTACCGGCAAAAATCCAAAGAATCGTAAGAAGCTCTTGATTTGTTAGAATGAAAAAGCGCATTTATAAAAAAAATAAGAATTTTGAAAACCGGTCCGCAATCGGTGAACATACTTAAAAAAATACATATATAGTGGATCGTAAAACGTCCTTCTTTTTGAAGTCGGTTAAATAGAGAGCTGTTTCAAATTGCTGAAGGGTAGTCAATAATAATCAACGTTTATTATCAGTGAGATTTTACCATTTAAGCCAAAGTTTTCAATGCAGCAAGTAATCAGTGTATTTTTTGCACATTTTTATGAATTTTATTTCGTATGAATAAACCAGTCACCATCATCAGTAGCCTTTAATAGTCCACTGCTGGACATAGGCCACTCCTTAGAAAGGAGGTTTAACCTGCAGATAAAATTAAATTTAGTAATTAATTTGATTTCATTATTATAAAAGATATTTATTTAGAATCATCTTGCATGTAAAAACCCAGAGGTTGAATTAATATTGATTTCCCTTTTTCTACCATTAATTCAAGTTTAAATATTTTTTCAAGTTTAAATGTGGTCAAATTTATACACTATCGAGCAATAAAACTATAAATAATTTGGGGATCTCGTCAGTTTTTACGCGGGTTTATAATGAGAAAGTTATAAATCTCTGCTAGCTGTTACATTCTTTAAAAATAGTATAATTAATTGGAAAATTATATTTGAAATTAGATACCATACCAGTATATGCAGAATGTGTCATTAATAATTAATTTGGAACTAGTTATTTTTTGTTAAATGCGCTGATACCTGATGGATTAAAATTAATATTTTTGTTCTACATAGATAGTTCAGTTCCTGTGAAAGGATATGTTATGTACTTTCCTTTTAATAATTAAACATCACGCCTCTACCCTGAAGAGCGAAGAAGCAGACTATAACCGCGGTTAAAATTGTCGGCAACGGTTATCTTCTTATAAAAAGGACTTCTTTAATAGCTGTTTAGAAATCAGGCGTTTGTGTGCTAATGCTGCAACGTTCAGCCTTTTCCTTTAAAGTAAATAGTACCTATATTATTAATAATGCATCTTGAAGCCCAGAGAACATGCAGCTATACGAGTATTAGACGGAAACGTGGCTACGAGATTATATAACTGCATATTACCACTGAGAGTCGTTGAAATAGAATATATTGAAGCGTCAGATTGTTTGGTAAAGAAATTTACTTTGTTTGATTGATTGATTGTTTGTTTGGTAAAGAAATTTACTAATATTTAAGCGTGTACGATGATCAGTGGTTAATTAATCTAATTGTAGCATGACGCAAAGGGGCGTGGCGCCTTATTGACACACTATGTGATCATTAGAAAGAACAGGCGTGAAAATGATTGTTTATTTCTTTATTATCAAAACTTTTTAAATAAGGTTTTGTTTCTAACTTCACACATATCACGCAGGGCCGTCTGATTCCAAACTAGGCAGAGCCCATGCTGTGGTAACCAGACTGCTGATAAGCATATTTATAAATTTACTAAGTACATATATATATATAAATAAATTACACCCAGAAACAGAAAACATCATCGTGCTCATCGCACAATTATTTATCTTGGCTGGCTCAAGGTCACTAAACTAGACCAAAATTTGTTTCCATAATTTAAAGTATTTAAACCACTGTGACTGTGTCTTAATAATAGCGTAATTTTTTTTCAAAAAATTCTAAATAAAATTACTAATTCTTAATGAAAATGACCAACCAGAATAAAACCCATAGCCCTACATGAACAGGGTTGTCCTGTTCATACGAATTTCGTATGTTGTCATTTGAATATACTATATACTTCAACTAACATCACACTCTATATCTGATAAATTTCTGACATCAGACTGTATATAACTAAGGCTAATAGTTAAAAATAATACTAGCTACTTTAACCAGTAATTTTAACTTAAAATGATGGTCTTATCCAGTAGTTTAACATGTGTGTACTCTTTCAAAGGTAGGTGTGGCCAGATAAGGTGTGCGAAGCCTGCATTTTGTATGCGTTGAGACTAACTAACAACCTCCTGTTACGTAAGCTGAGATGTAAACAAAAGGTTATTTGTATAGCTATTTTCTTTTAAAAGCAGTGCTGCAGTGGTTCAAAGCGGTAATCAGTTATTATCACTATCAAATTAGCGAGTTAGTGAAAAGAAGTTAGGACTGAAAAATTGTGTTTACTTTTTTTTATTGATAACCCAAAAGTTAATTTTGCTACTGGAAACAGAAAAGAAGAGAAGATAGTATAGTAAATATACCTTTTACGTTCTTTACATACTAGGACGAACCAGCTTAAAACTGTTTTTTTTTTAAACAAGAGAGATTTTATATAGAAATAACTAAATACAAACTTTAATTTAAATCGTTAGTGCCGCCGAGATATGCGAAACGCATTTCTATCTTTATACACATAGAAACGAAAATATACTCTCTGTCTGATGATGAGTAAACGACTAATCACGATCTGAAAAACTACTGAACCTATAAAATATTTTTATAAAGGTGGTTTAAGAGAAGGAGACGTCAGTCAAGAACGGATTTGGAGACAGGGCCTTATTAAGCAGGTCTTGCGCAAGTTTCCACGGAAGTCCTTAGTTTTTGTATTAGAAGCCCTACATTTCGGGAGATGTCGTTTAAACGTAGACACTTACAATAAGCTATTATTTTTATAAAAATAGTTAAGCGTTGCTCGTTTAAACTTATTGGACTCTCGCAAAGATCTAGAGAAGCCTTGCGATTTCCATAACCAGAATTTCAACATAAACTTATAACACTGAACCCAAATATGTCTTTTAATATTAATTATTTAGAATTCAAAACAGCAATTCAATAAAAATATCTAACATGAGTGAGACACTATAAGAATACATTATCATTTTATTTTATTTCAATTGAATTTATGGCAATAGCCAATTAAAAAACAAGTTCAAAGTGATGCGGGCGACGAAGATGACGTCATCCCATTGTAGGAGTGCTACTCCGCCGCTTACTCGGACCTCATCCACGGATCTCGCGTGTCCTATATCGCCGGATCTGTCGCGGCGCGCGCTCTCCCCAGATCTATCAATAAACTTTACGCGCCATCGTCCATTGTCTCCGGACGTCTTGGAGCATTGCCGACCTTTGTCCCCGGATTTTGCTCGACGATCGCGTTCACCAGCTAGACCGAGGTCGCTTATGGAGTCGCTGCTGGTGGCGAAGATGGAAGCTTTGAGTACGGGGAAGTTGGTGCGTACTGATTCTATGGACAGCTGTAGCAGCTTTGGGTCAATGTCCTCATTACCAAGTGATGTGTGCCGTTGTGATGATTGTCTACTTGGAATTGTGGACTTCTATATGCCAAATCCTTCTGAATTGAATAAGACGTTAAAAAAGGTGAGTGAAAATTGTTTTCTTTGTTAGTTTTACTTAGTTTTTTTTAGTTAATTAAAGCATGCACGTTGCTATAATTTACATATTGTTTGTAATTTATATGTTTATGTGTAAAGGTAAAACAAATTTATTATCACACAGTTTATACGCAAATAACCTCTGATTTGTTTGTAAACATTCCATAATGCCAGTTTAAAGCGAAACGCTCTCAGAATATGTAACGCCATCTCGGTTTGATGCAAAAAGTTACTCAAGCTGTTAACATCTCGTGCGCATAGTGATTCAGTAATGTGTTTAATTTTAACTTGCGCCAATAGATGGCGCTACATACCGCAACGCTCAAGTTTGGCTGTCGTCTGTGATGCAAAAGATTATTTTTTGCTGGCACGAATTTGGAAAGATTGCGCTTTTGTTCTTTTGTTTTATCTGTTTTTGTAAGAGCCGTAGGGGTGCGGGGCGTAGCGTAGCGTACCTTCCTAAAGTAAAACCCGTGCAAGGGGTTATTAAACCTTGTTATTTTAAAATTTTGTAGCTTCCGTCTCCGGTAGACCGAGAAGCATAGTCAATAAGTTTTTGCACCTGCAAATTAGTAAACACTAACAAATTTCATGAAATAGGCATAAAAGCACGTCGACGAGCAAGTCGATTGCCAGGCAATTAAAGGCATTTAAAACGATTAACAACACATAGGTATGATATAACTAAAATGGTGTCGCAGCAGTTTAAATGCGACAGCAGTTCATAATAATAAGACTACTTATAAGCTATTTAAAGGCAGAATACGAATATTATTTTACTCATAAAAATATTTATGATGATAGCCATGATGAATCATCTCTAAGTTTTTAACGAGGTTTTTGTTGCACTGCATTGTCGTTAGTCAGATAAGCTGTTTTATTATTGAGAGATTAGTCATCCAAAAAGTCAGCGGTCTGTCCCACTGCCTCGTTTTAGTCAAAATTGACTGAGACTTCATCATAAGTGGTCATTTCCTTTTTTATTATCTATACGTCAGTCATGGAGCTACTTAATTTGATTTTGTTTGAATGTATTACAACTGAGTGTCTTTGAGTACCTCTTAAAAAAAACTAGTGTTGGCAATGTTAAGATTACTTGGCAAATCAGCCAAGTAGTCTTCATGAAAATCCTCAATTCTCATTTTTTTAACATTTTTAAGTTGATATAATAAAAAAATATTACGTCACATTCTTTCGACGAACGGCAAAACGTGTTCCTTAGCGTCACTTTTGGTTTGTTAATGCTCTTACGCCAATAAGTGGCTGCTTAGTTAGTACGTAGCGTACTACGTAGCAATCAGTAGAAGTAAAGTTTTTATATTTTCGTTACAAATAATAAATAGAGAATGAATGATGGACGTGATAATGAAGGAAAAAATATAAGAATAAGTATAAAAAAATCTCAGAAGCCTTGAATTACATTTGTGTTATTTTTTTTTTTTTTTATTTCATGCACGTTTTATTTTCAACGATACCTCAACCTTGTAGCAAACGGTTTGGTCGAGAAAGTGTTAAGTACAAAGTTTTTGGAGTCCAGGTCTTGCTGGTAGGTATATAACGTATAAGATTGCGCCGCGTGGGCGACCTGAATGCGAAGTCCTGGTCGACGAAATTGGACTTGACCTATCCCCACCAGCAATCATTGCTGCCATGCTGGCGGGTAAAGAGTGCTGGGGCGCAGTGGTTTCTTTCTGTAAAGCTGTAATGCTCCAGAAAGAGACCGCTGAAGCTGCTGGAGCTGGAGGGCCGATCCCGAGGTGGGGACCTCTGGTAGCAGATTTTTTTTTTTATTTCATGCACGTTTTATTTTCAACGATACCTCAACCTTGTAGCAAACGGTTTGGTCGAGAAAGTGTTAAGTACAAAGTTTTTGGAGTCCAGGTCTTGCTGGTAGGTATATAACGTATAAGATTGCGCCGCGTGGGCGACCTGAATGCGAAGTCCTGGTCGACGAAATTGGACTTGACCTATCCCCACCAGCAATCATTGCTGCCATGCTGGCGGGTAAAGAGTGCTGGGGCGCAGTGGTTTCTTTCTGTAAAGCTGTAATGCTCCAGAAAGAGACCGCTGAAGCTGCTGGAGCTGGAGGGCCGATCCCGAGGTGGGGACCTCTGGTAGCAGATTTTTTTTTTTTATTTCATGCACGTTTTATTTTCAACGATACCTCAACCTTGTAGCAAACGGTTTGGTCGAGAAAGTGTTAAGTACAAAGTTTTTGGAGTCCAGGTCTTGCTGGTAGGTATATAACGTATAAGATTGCGCCGCGTGGGCGACCTGAATGCTAAGTCCTGGTCGACGAAATTGGACTTGACCTATCCCCACCAGCAATCATTGCTGCCATGCTGGCGGGTAAAGAGTGCTGGGGCGCAGTGGTTTCTTTCTGTAAAGCTGTAATGCTCCAGAAAGAGACCGCTGAAGCTGCTGGAGCTGGAGGGCCGATCCCGAGGTGGGGACCTCTGGTAGCAGATTAACTGTTGCGGTAGGCGATAGGATCGATTGGGCCGCTACATGTAATGATTGGGCCTCTACATGTAATGATTGGGCCGATAGGAGGGATAATCCCGTGGCTTCCCCGGGGCATTACTAGGCGCGACGTTGACCCGGGCGGGACCTGAAATAACATCGTCCGGGTCCTTGAGGAGCCGGAGATACGAACGGATTTTCCAATACGTCAACAAAAAAAGAAAAAGAAAGTTATGTGACATCTCTCTATCTAAGCACTCTCTAAGGGCGTGGTCTTCCTTGTAGACGCCTAATTGAATAATAATTTAATTTCCACTTAAGTAGATGTCGGCATCTCATTTTCTCATCTCATTTCAAGACCACTTCAACTTTAGGTTTCGAGGCAAACCAATATCGTTAGTTTAGTGTTTGCTTCAAGTATTCCTTCTTTTTGTAGTGCTGTTGTCCTGCGTAATTTGCTCCCTAAGTCGGCTCTTATGATACCCACGGGCTGAATAGGGGTAGTGACACTCCGTATTCCTTATCCGTCACCACACGGACAGACACACCAATATACCGACGAATAAATAAAGTAATCTGACGTGACAGCAGCGTGATAAATATTTAGAGTATGTTAAATTATTTAGGTGTTATTACGAGTCGACAACCGATAAAGTAGGTATCGGCGTGCACTTCATTACAATTCACAAATCGTTCATCAATATAAGTTAGTGCCTGCGTCAGTGAAGACGTCAACGCATGTCCATACTGCCATATATGTACCCGAGCACTAGCCAAAACATTTGTCGTTTAAAATTAAGTCTAAAATTTTCCACAATAAAAGGACGGGTTTCTCTATACCTGCTTATATAAATTTAGTTATTTTTTCAGTTCAGTGGATAGTGACCTATCACTAACTCAGTCTCTAAATTGACCGAATTTTTTATGATAAAAATTTGACAACCTACCTTCGGTGTAAGTTGAAATTTATATTTCTTTATATAAATAACAAACATTGTGACTTAATGTGGAGATCTGTTCTACAATATTACGATTTCAATAGCCGTATTGCGATAGTTGGTGTCGGATAGGTTGTATAGGGTAATAGCCTTGATAGCATTTAATGCCATTAAAGTCATTTACTTTAAAATGAACAAATAAGCTAAGAGCGAAATTGGACGGTTTATCTTTATATCCTGTTGTGCATAACTGCATTATAATTGAAACACAGGTCACCCACCTTGCTCGGGCCGTTTGGAAAATAATTTGTAGTATTTTGATTTTACTCTTTTTCTATTCACAATTGCACATTTTTAGAATAGTTATAATATAGGTACACTAGTTTTATATTAGGTTTAATAATAAGCTTTATATAAGAATCTAATAACAAAAGATGTAAATCATATACAAGATGTAACCAAGACCTTATTCTTATTTTGCAAATTTATTTTATTATTATTATCACTTTATTTTATTATTATTAATTTGAATTCTGTGAGGCCTGTGCACAAAAAATACTTTGAAATTATAATATAATTATACTTGGAAATTTGGAAAAAAGTTGTTTTTCGTAATGACTTTATATTTGTCAAACATTTATTATCCAACATATTATATCTTCCTTTATTAAAGACGGCTAAATTGTGAAATAGCGAAATAGAATAGAAATAGCACCCCCCTTTGGCTCAGTAGAGACAAACTAGTAGTAACTAAACTACTGCAATACAAGCACAAAACTAATTGATCTCAGTTATAAAATTATGAATCAATTTAACTAAGAAATAATTATTTGATGACACATGTAAAGTGTCACATGTAAAAACTTTATAGTTCCCTGTGATTTCCGGTTTCACACTTAACCAATAGGGGGATTTTATAAATTTCAAATTGAGTCATGAAAAGGTTTAACGTAGCTGTGTCATGTAAGGTGGATGAGATGTCAAACTAGTATCCTCTATTCTAAATACTTGATTCACTGTACCGATAACAAACCCGTACCAGTACCAAGTGGTACCGGTAGATTACCGGAAACTCTCAGAAAAAAACAGATATTCATCAAAATTCTGTGTAATTTTTATTAACATTTTACCGTATTAGTTTTCCTAATTTTGGTTAAATATAAGTTTTTCCGTTACATTCATACCTTTATTATTTATATCGCGAGATCTCGGATCTATTTTCGAGTAAAAACAAAACTGCCTTTTGCAGCAGACCCTTGATACAGCCGTCTAACGTGAGCCTCTTGAGGTGTTGGTATTATTATTATAAAATTTTATAGTATGTTGAGATTAAGTATTTAAGTAGAGGGGGGTGGCGGAGGGTAAGTATCTCACCCTCCGCCACCCCCCTCTTAGTAGAATCTCCTCAGACTTCAGAATTCAAATGGGTCAGCTAGAATTACTAATTACTAAGTATTCATTTCATTATTTGTTTCATTACTTACTTGGCTTATTAAGAATATCTTTATTTTCAAGGCGTTTGGAAGTTAGATGTTTTTAAAATGCACAAAAAATATTAAAATAACCAATAAACAACGACCTCTTGACAAACTCCAAATTTTGTGACACAACA